TGGTCGAGGTGGGATTTATGTCGAACCTCTAAGGGAGATTCGAAGCACACCTTGTGGAGATTGAAATTGCAATAGGGCTCGATGCAACAATAAGCCGAGCCGAATAGGTCACACTCACATGCAGAACAAACTTTAGTATTTTTCTCCTTAATTTCAATAGGCTGCAAAATATGTGGATGGCTGAAGTGCTTTATTACTTGAGGTTTCGTTTGAGGTTTCATCGCCGGAGGTTGTTGAATGTTCCTGGTCTGAGGAGCTGGTGGTGTCGGATTTACGTTGGCGACACTCACTGGAGGACTTAAGTTTGGCACTGTTGGATTAATTGGGGTAAAAACTGGCACAGAATTGTTTTGAATGGGGGCTTGAAGATTTGGGACTGACGGATTAGGAGGAATATTCGGATAAGGGTTGTTTTGAAAGGAGGGATAGGTGCTACTTTGAGGCAAATTTGGTGCAGTATGAGGATTTTTGACTGCGAAATTCGGGAAATTAGCAGGTGGGTTTGTTGGATTATAAGCACAAGGGACATGTAGATCAAAGTCACATTCAGAACAACAATAAGTGAAGGCATTTACTACGAGATTGCAAGAATTGCAGAAAAATGAATTAGAGGGATATGTTGGATAAGGTACTAAAGTTAAGGGATGTAGATGATGAGAAGGGTGACTCATCGATCGAATCGCTTGAAAACATTGCTTGTGGAGGAAGTAATGGCACTGCCAACACGCGTAAACTGAGCCCGACGCGGTGGTTTTGCAACCGGAAGAATGGATTTCAGTTCCTTGTGGCAACTGGTGAAAAACTAGGCCATGATTGTGGCTAAAATGCTTGAATTCCATCTCTTTCTTTATCTATAGGATGGAATGTCATAGATGAATTTGTTTGATGGGGATTAAATGGGATATGCACAAATTAATTTATTGCAAATAGGCATGCTAGTTGATAGATGAATACTGTGAATGTGTGGGATGAAACTTGTGAGATTCTTCATTCCATGCGGTTTGAATTTGTCAATTGTATGATTAATGTTGACTTGCAATTTCGGAGTTGACTAATTTATTTATTCACAATATTGTATGATTTGATTTTTTGCTTGTAGTGCATGTTAAGTGGTGGGTGTTTTGACATTGATTCTCCTTTCCACGTTAATGAAAGGATTGACTTTTGTGTTTTACTTTTTATTTTTTGAAAAAATGCTCTAATAATCTATAACTTATATTAGTGTTATGAGAACATTTTTCTCGACTTATTTTTCAAATAGTATAATCTTCAAAATCCAAACTTTTAATTTTTATAGCATTGTTGGATTACATTGATGATAAAAGGTTGAACTTAACGAAAACCTATAACTATTCATCTATAATTTATATTAGTGTTATGAGAACATTTTTCTCGACTTATTTTTCGAATAGTATAATCTTCAAAGTCCAAACTTTTAATTTTTATAGCGTTGCTGGATTACATTGATGACAAAAGGTTGAACTTAACGAAACCCCTTATGCTCCCTTCTTTTCTAAATTAAAATAAGTGTTCAATAAAATAGGAAAAAGAGAGAAGAAGGAAAGAAGAAAGGGAAAATAGAGATAGACAAGTGATGTGAGGGCTAGGGGCAAAAACCAGTTGAAGAAAGGTTGAAGGTGGCATCGTGGCGAACCAAGTGTAGG